GCAGCAACAGCAGCAGCAGCAGCAGCAGCAGGGAGGAGGAGGAGGAGGAAGAGGAAGAAGAAGAAAGAATTACAGGTATCACATGGGGTTCACCTCATGGAAGTGCAGATAGGAATACTGAGGTTCAAGCTAGTCCAGGCACAAATCAAACTCCCATCTCAAAAAGAAACAAAACAAAAAGAGTTGGAGGCATGGCTCATGATAGAGCTCCTAGTACTGAAGAGGGTGGAGGGAGAAGGAGAAGGGGGGGGAAGGGAGGGAGAGGATGGAAGAATGGGAGAGAGGGAGGGAGGGACGGACAGAGGGGAGGATAGAAAAAATAGTGGAGGTTGAAGGAAAGATTTTAATAGCATGAAAGAACACTTGAACATTTGTAGGCTGAAGGAAGAAACTAGTAGTGAGGGAAATCTGAAAGACAGGGAAGTTAGTTAAAGCACACAGAGTAAGAAGTTAGTACTGAAGCACAACATTCATTGCCACTCTAATAATGGCCTATTAGAGTTCAGTTGTTGTTGTTGGTGGTAATGGTGATGATGATAGTGGTGTGGTGTTGACATATAACTTAGATTGGAAGAAAGCAAATTAGAGTAAAAATATTCCTTGGTTCTGAACATTACAAACTGTTAACAGAAATAAAAGATGTTACAACTGCAAACTATTACAGTGAGAGGAAAAGAGGGCATATTATTAACAAAGATTTCTCTGGTGTCCTCTTTTGGGTTCAGAATTTTGGAGGATTTATGTTTGTGACATCTGTTGAAAAAACAGGACTTTATAAAGTTCTTCAACAAGTAAAAAACAATGGTTGCTTTAGATTCTCTCAAAATGAGCTGAAGCTTGAGGAAAATGGTAATGGTGAACCAAAAAGAACTCTTTTGTCAGTCATGGGGTTTGAACTCTGGGCCTGGGCACTGTCCCTCAGCTCTTCAGCTTAAAGTGAGCACTCTACCACTTAAACAGTGTCACTTCCAGTTTTCTGGTGGTTAATTGGAGTTAAGAGTTTCATGGACGGAGCTGGGAAGGTGGCTCAGTGGTAGAGTGCTTGCCTTGCATGCATGAGGCCCTGGGTTTGATTCCCCAGCACCACATAAGCAAAAAGCCAAAAGCCGGAAGTGGCGCTGTGGCTCCAGTGGTAGAGCACTAGCCTTGAGCTGAAGAGCTGAGGGACAGCACCCAGACCCAGAGTTCAGGCCCCATGACCGGCAAAAAACAAAAA